TGTTGTAGCTGCAACTGGGCCCTGGCGCCCCACCACTGTCCTGAAATCATTAGTCGGTATTGTTTTCGAAAAACTGTCACATGACACTTAACAAAAATGTATCAGTAATTGGTATCTGTGGGTACTTGGACAGGCATTAGTACTTGGCCTGGAAAAAAATGGTATAGGTGCATCCCTAATATATATATCTATATAGTGCAATATAAATGGGTAAGCCGTATTAGTCCAGTAGACAAGCTGTCAAAAAAGACAAAAACGCAGGATTGCAGTGTGCAAATATATATATATATATATATATATAGTGCAATATAAATGGGTAAGCCGTATTAGTCCAGTAGACAAGATGTCAAAAAAGACAAAAATGCAGTATTGCAGTGTGCAATGATACCTTTCCTATCGGACTAACAAAATATATTATTATCAGGTCAGTATTGCTTCTGACATGAAGAAGAGAGGTTCACTCTCGAAAGCTTGTCTTTTATATATTTTGTTAGTCCAATAAGAAAGGTATCATTGCACACTGCAATACTGCGTTTTTGTCTTTTTTGACATCTTATATATATGCCACATATACAATCACAGTTTATAGATAGACAGAATGCTTTTAAAAGATTATCATATGTTGTTAAAGTGACATTAAAGTCAAAAACTCCCTCTCCCCCCCATGTTAATGTTAGCACTTACCTTAAATGATGTCACTTAATCCGATCTTCCTCTTCTTTCCTGTCCTTTTCAGCCTTCTCTCCAGCGCTGCTGCGAGTCTTCGATCCAGCGTTGACTCCTCTGTCCTTGCTGGCACTTGCTGTCCCAAGGTGTCTACATGCGGGTGCACGCGTCCATAGACTTACCTTGCGTCTCTCCTCGTCTCCCGTCAAAAAATCCGAACGGCGCATGCCCCGAGATGCCTCGTGGCCGCCCGAGCATTTTCAGATTTTCGGACGGGAGCGCGCGGCGAAGACAGGGGTAAGTTTAAACCGCTTTTAAAGCGTTTAAAAAAAAAAAAAAACTTTTTACATATATCTACTGCTTGCTAGCAGTTGATATATGCAAAAAAACCCAAGGTTTAGAAACCCTTTAAGGTCAATAAAGCCGAACTCGAAGGCAAACAGCTAGAGTAAGCATACTACAGAAACATACAGTATATATGGGAGTTTTTTCTTTACCTGCCAAAGAATATGTATTGCTGTGCACCCAGTCCTGATATTTACACAGCCCTGCCAGATAGCAGGATAAGCCTGGTGACTAGGGATAAGATTCAGCTTCAAGTTAGGGCTCAGTCACACTATTTTGGATCCCGATTTTGGCCGGAACGCACTGCATCGCATTGCGGCCAGCTCACTTTTAGTGGGGTGGGAGTGGGCGTGGCGGGGCATTCAAGTGAATGGCGCCGAAGCCACGCCCTCCGGCCACAATGCGAACCTGTGCGGTGCGATCAAAATGCTACAAGCACTATTTTGATTGC